AGGGACTGTTAGAGTCCATATGTAAGAGTAAGGATCACCATTGTTCCTTAGCTGGGGGTACATTGGGAAGCTTCCACAGGTATCACTGAGTTGTAACCAAGTGAGGCTATGCATTCTCTAAGTTAGACTTAAGGACACCTTGCCTGTTGTTTATTCTTGATTGCAGTTGTGCACTGTATGTGTTTCCCATGAATTCAGAGGTTGAGATTTAGTATAATTAGAAGCTGGCTTTTAATTTTTTTAGCTGCAAGAACATAGAGAGGAAGAATATAATGACTCCTAGCACTGCCTTGATTGTGCCAAGGGCTGGCAGTGTTGCTTACCATTGCCCTGGCACCATCAGTGCAACCAGGTGAAAAAGGCAAAGTCTGAGCACTGCTGTGAGACTAGATTTATCCCACAGAACCCGCCAGAAGGGTGGCAAGAACTCCTGGGGGTGGGTGGACTGTACGTGGAGAACCACTAAGATAGCTTAAGGTCCAGGGATAGGGTGAAGGGAGCAAAATGGGACATTGGAAAGTTCTCACCATTGCTAGCCACACTGGTGGCGGTGTTACTTCCAGCGCCTGTGGTTCCAGGAGTCCAGAGGTGTAACTGCTGCTTATGGGTCTTGGACCTGACCCTGACCTGGGCTGTGCACGCTGTCTGGGGTTTGTACTTGCTTAGTCCCCCAGGAACCTTGCCCTTAGGAGTTAATGGGGTGAATGTGTGTGATCAGTTAATACTCCCAAGGCGAGACAAGTGGGCATACCTGGGCTGTGCACGCTGTCTGGGGTTTGTACTTGCTTAGTCCCCCAGGAACCTTGCCCTTGGGAGTTAATGGGGTGAATGTGTGTGATCAGTTAATACTCCCAAGGCGAGACAAGTGGGCATGAGTGGCCATCATTTTCCTTCTGAAGAGAAGACAAGCTGCAAAACCATAGATGCAAAATAGATTTTGCAAAATAGATGCAAAAATAGAATTAAAATTCTAAAGCTTTTTGAAGTTGAGCTCTGTTTCAATACATTATTGTTCCGTGTATAGTACTGTTCTATTCTTTATGGTCCAGGGCAGGGCGAGAAGGAGTGGGGCTCCTCGGGTGAGACTGCAGCAGCCCTTTCTGGTTCCAGGTATCCATGCCTGTTCTCCTTACTCTCCTCCGATCCCCTCCCCAGAGTAGAGCCCCACGCACATGAGCAGGATTACTGCGTCAGTGACACGCCGGGGCAGGAGTTGTTGCACCCCATGTCATCAGCCTGTGTTTCCTTTCTCTGCAGTGAGGAGGTCTGCAAGCGAGGCTTCACGGTGATTGTGGACATGCGTGGCTCCAAGTGGGACTCCATCAAGCCCCTGCTGAAGATACTGCAGGAGTCCTTCCCCTGCTGCATCCATGTTGCTCTGATAATCAAGCCAGACAACTTCTGGCAGAAACAGAGGACTAATTTTGGCAGTTCTAAATTTGAATTTGAGGTAACTTCCCCTGTGTAGCCAGACCCACTAAACCAATAGGCATGGTGTGATAAACACTGACATATTCTCACCATTTAAGGTTGATGATAGATTCTTAAAACCACATATTAAACAGAAACTGCATATGTTGAGTACACATGATATGCAAAATTAGTTATTGTGTAAAATAACAAAGTTGTGTTCGTTTTCTTTGTGGATTGTTTTACCCAAGGGAGGTTTACATTTCAGTTCTCGTGGATTTGGGTGGTGGGGTGGCTTAGGTGTAAGACATTGACCTTGGAAAGAAAGCCCTGCTCCTCGTACTTCACTCGATACAACCCTTCGCATGACTGCAAATTCATTATCATTTCCTCAGTCCTGGAGAGGAGGGAATGTTAGGGAGAATCCCCCAATTTCATATTTCCTGAGGGAAAAATATGAAAGAGACTGAGTTTCATCCTGTCATTGATAAGAGAGAATAGTCTGTTATTTATCTCATGTGTTAGGTCTCTTAGTTATGAAAATGGAGATATTCCTTAAAAACTATGCACAGTCTTGAATTTCATTAGGCACAGAAGATTGCAGTCTTTCAGACAATTGTAAAAAACCAACCTCAGCCTGCAAACTTATTTTTTCCTTTCCAAGGTCACCTCCTCTCCTTAACCTACCAAGGTTCTCTCAAGACTTTTGATGCAGTTAGTTTAATGAGATGATTATGGGAAGAAAGTATTCCTGCCAGTTTGAAACTTGGTTCATGCTCTATTCTGTAATAAAACTTAAATATTTTATAATAATAAATAATATCTTTTGGTTGAATAGATTGCTTCTTTTGGCAGCTCTGCCCAAACATTAGGTTTTAGTGGTGGTATTCATGTATTTTAAGGTAAACAGCAGTAGTAATATTAAACACATCAAACAGTAGTAATACTTAATCTTTAGGTTGTATGCTATATTTTTCAAAGTGTTTTCACATATGTATTACTTGAATTTTAAATCTCTTTTCATAGTACTGGTGTTTCTATCTGAAATCTGAATTTAGTTTTAACTTTGAAACTACTGTCAAGAGGTTTAGGTGAAAGATGAAACCAGTAAGCCTTTATCTGCATACACAATAAGGAGTGATTTTGGAGGACAATTTATTGGGTCTTAGTTATTTTCTCAATGCAGAATTTAAAGTCTGTTGTATTTAATTATACATATTTTAAGTAAAAATTATGATTTGGCGATAAAATTCATGCAAGTTTTGCTAGTCTAGTTTGATCTCTCCCTCTGGGCTGTTAAAGGTGCCCACCCCAGTGTTTTTGTGGACTTGTCATCTCAGCACTCTTCTGGCCCCTGTCTGTGAGCATGTGCCTCCCTTAACTGACGGCCCTCTGGGCTGTTAAAGGTGCCCACCCCAGTGTTTTTGTGGACTTGTCATCTCAGCACTCTGCTGGCCCCTGTCTGTGAGCATGTGCCTCCCTTAACTGACGGACGATCCAGCAAGTGAGACAGGAGTGGGCCCACAGGAACACTAGGCGAAAGTGCTTGATTCAGAGGAGTCCCTCTTTCTAATTCTGCTGCGTTTTGCTGTTTCTCATGCCAACCAGCACAGAGATTCCAGTTCTGGGTCTCTCTGAGGCTGGAGGTGACAGAGTTGGGGCTAAACCAGCCATTCTTTGTTTTATCTTTTGGTTCTAGGCCACAACTCTTTTCTCTTTTCCCTTTACCTTTGTCTTTTCACTTAATCACCCCACCCCCATGTTTTCTTAAAGCAGAATACTGATATTAATCTGCTTCACATTCTGATAGGGTGAGGTTAAGATTTCTTGCTTAGACTGTAATTGACTAAAAGTTTGTCAGTTGCAGAGTATGTGCAGCACCTTAACTGCTCAGAATCACAGCAGATTATTACAATGAATGAAACATTCCCTGTGTTTATAGTTCTGTGAAAAAAGAGCCTCTGCCAGCTTTCTTGCTAACCCTAGGATATTTTTCTAAATTTTTTAGAAGTTATGTATATTCTATCCATCTGTTACTTGATGGGAAGTGGAGGTAGGACAGATAAATGATGAGGGTGGTCTGGTTGAAGCAACATTTGCCATTTAATAAGTAGCCCATAAATAAGTGTACTTAGAGGAAGATGGCACTTAAAAGGGTTTTTGAATCCCATGAGCAAGATGTTACTGTGATAGCACATAG